ACCATCTTTCTCTGTTTCCAGCGGGCCTCCTGCAGACAGGTCTGATGGTGTCTCATTGCTTGCAATGCTGGTCTTGTTGGTCTCCGACTCCTGTAAAGGAACCTCAGATTGCTCTGCAACGGTTCCATCACTGGCTTTCTCTGTTTCCAGTGGCCCTCCTGGAGACAAGTCAAGAGGATGCTCGGGAGATATGGCTGTTGGGACTTCTGGCGCTGCTCTTGGGACTTCTTGCATCTGATTTGTAAGTGCTTCAGCGTTGGATTCGTCCATGGGACTCCCCACGGGACTGACGATTTGGGGCTCTGGTTGATGAGCATCATCCCTAGGCGTCGCCAGAGTTTCCTGGAATGGACACGCTGTGACTAGAGATTGCTAAGCAACGCAACGTATATATCATGTGCACAGCACCGGCTCTTAATACACCACACTCTATGGACTCTATGGCTTAGTGCTATGTTGGTGACGTCGAACACTGAGGAACCGTCCTGCAGCTGCTGCTCCGAACGCCTCGGTCCGAAGGGCGAGTTTCTCCTTGCAACGTCTTTCGTCTTCTCAAATCAATGTTTGTCTCTTCTCGCAGCCACGTCACAACGCCACATCTCTCTTCTCCTGAAAAGAACGTGACGGATTGGCCAATCGTCCAAAATCGGCTTCGAGGATTTTGACACCCTTTCCTTTTTGCCTTTCCGCCCGTCCTTCCTCAATGTTGCAGCTCAAACAAGCTCTTGAGTTTCCTGAAAACCTAAATAGGTGTATATGCAAGCATGCCGGTGTGATCTGTTCTGTCCAACCGTGTTGGCATTTCGTTCGCTTGCTTTGCATGCGTCGCGCTTTGCGTCGCGGGTTCCACCCCCAGTCCATCAGGCGCAGCTCAGCCACAGCGGCCAGTCTCTCCAAGTATCTAGCCTGGCATGCGCTGGGGCGTTTTCGGCCACAAGGCGGACACAAAATAATTTCTCTTTCAAACATTTCACTGCACATCACTGCACTGTCTATGTAGATCTTGCAGCTGAAATTATATACAAAGATCTGCAAAGACTATCTGCACCTCCTGCATAGCCATCCTCTCATCATCTCGTGTTTCTTGCACCTGCGTCTGGAGCTCCTCCACCTGGTCGCGACTCAGCACCGGCTCTCCAGGTCAGAGATAAAAATCGTTGATGCGACTGATGCGACGAGTGCATAGAATGAGGGTGGATTCCAGGGTGGATACAAAGGAATCTCCATTGGGGGCAAACCGTCCCTCATTCCCTGCACTCGTTGCACCAGTCAGAAAGTGGCGACAAAGCGTCAACTTGGCCAAGCACGGACAAAGGCCCTAGGGCGTCCAGGGTCACCTTCTCTTGTGAGGCCTGCTGAGAGATTCAAGGCTGGGAATCAGGGGAAGCGGTAGTTCTTGCCTTCAAGAATTATATAAGCTTTGGCTGATCCCACTCGCAAAGGTCTTACATTCACCCTGTCCATCCTCACAATTGGTGCACTTGCCCCACATCTGTCTAGCAGTGTGAAGTCAAAATTTGTAGTATAAGGAGGGTAAAGAATTGTTCTTCCCTCCTAATCGTATCGAGGTCCCTTGATGCTGCTTTAAAAAGATATGAAGTCAAGCCGTCAAAGCAGTCGTTGTGTGAGCGATGGATGGATCTACAGTATATACATATACACATGTAGTGATTCTCACGTTCCAAGAGCCCGTTCCCCCTTTCCATGTCCTGCGAATCACGCAAGGCCACAGTCGGAAAGGCCTCATCGGCCGCCCCCCTCCCTTTCACAAAAGGTATCAAGCTTCTCACATTTGAAGCTCGAAACCCAGAACTTGCCTCTTACACATGGCTACAACAAACCCATCGCCACCGGGTTTCCCAGCCAAGCAAGCTGCCCACAATGGCAGCCGACAGAGCCGGCCCATGTAGGCCACGTGGGCCTGTTCCACTTGGGCCGAATGCGCCAAAGTTTGAACAAAGCGATGCTCTTCTTGACAAAGAAACAAACAAAGTATACATCACTGACACCTTGATTCAAGTCAAAAGCAGTACGACCAGCCTCTCGGTGCCGGGGCATGTACCAAGTTGACAAACCTTCCGGGGGTTTTTGAGCCAAACTCGGCACAGAGACCAGAAGACGTCTCTCCAGCTAGCTTGCATTGCAACCTGAGACGTCTCCATGCAGCTCTCATCCGTACGCCTCCGTACGCCTCCATGGCACTCAGACTGGAAGGAAGCCAAAAAAAACAACACGGTCCACTTGAAGCCTCTGTTTGCCGTGATATTTTTGATTATGGAACCTGTTCAAAAAGGAGCAGATTCGCCACCATGCACTTCTTGGACCTCGAGGAGACAATCCTTTTGATCTCTCAGGCGATGGGCCAATCACTTGGTCTTTTGCGCGCACCCCTGGCGAGACCGTGACAGGTGGAGAGAAATGCATCGGACCCGACGTTTCTGGCCATACCCATCATCTACGGTGAGTTGGTAAGGCCAAGCTGGAGGAGCTCTTCAAGGCAGTGGGCGAAGTTCTTTGACTGCTTTCGGAGTTCCCAGGACATACAGTACTGGTACAGCCTATGTATTACTTGGATCAGCAAGCAAGCTGCGGGGTGATGGGTATGCTGAAACTCGTGTCAGGGTACTAGAAGATTTCTTGCTTTCCTTGGGTGGAGAACTCGGGCGCTAAAAGCCCAACAACTGGCAAGTCGTTGGAGGTCTGCACTCCGGTATGAGCGCCGCAATCTCATCGTTCTTCACTATCTACAGCCACAAGGATCTGCGTCAACTGAGTTGTGTTGTCCTAGGGATTTGGCACTATGTTTTTAGTGTATGAATTTGGAAACGTGTGCAGTACACTCATGCAGGATGAATGCTTTAGCCTGGCTATTGAGTGCAGGCGCTTGTGGTTCGTGGAAGTTCTTCATATATAATCTATTATTGCGTCTTGATTCTGCAATCTCCCCTTTTTAACATATCCCATGCAACCTTGACTTGCTTGCTTGGTGATTTCCTCACACCTATATAGAATGGACAACACTAACAGGGAACATCATGGAAAATCTGTGATTCCAGTCACCTCATCAATTGGAATGAACATCCATGATCCCTACTCCAAAGCAATTCAACCTTCCTCATTGCAATCACTGTCTGGCTTTGAAGGATCTTGAGGCCTCACCCATCATAGCATTGGTCGTCTTGGCAACTGCACCTGCCAGGGACCTGCCAGGGAGAAAACAGTCACGAAGTCCTTACAGAAAAATCCTTTCTGCAAAGCAAAGAAAATCTGCCTGGCACTTGGCTCAATCAAACACATCATGGATCAAACAACAAACAACAGCCAGGTCTCAACCTCCAAAGCGCATCACTTCTCAACCGAACAAAAAGCCTGAAATCCGAACAAAAAGAGTCTAAGACTCAGGCTCAATGGACTTGCCAATGCTCATGGCGTCAGGGACCGTGGGTTCTGCAACACAAGGCCGTCACTTCACTTTTACTTGGAAGAAAACAGCCATGGTCAAGTCCACTTGGCCTTTGGGCTGATGGGGCTGACCGTAACAGCAAATCCAACAACCTCCTGGCCTGGAGGAGGGCTACGCAGCTCCATCCCCTGACAAGCTCAGCCCAAGTTGGTCTCAAAAGGCCTCTTCTGCGAAGACACACGCCACTGGTTCTTCCCTCTTTTTCTATTCTTCAGTCCCGGTGGGCAGAGGCATCTGCTTCTGGCCATCGAGGGGAACATTGAAAAAACTCGGGCCGCCTTGGTTGAGTGGATCTGTGTGGGTTTTGAAACAGAGAACAAAAAAGACTGTGCACACAGAACAAACACATACCCTCTGTGTATCTGTGCATCGCTATTTGTTAAAAAACTCTAGAAAGAGAGAGAGAGAGAAAGAGAGAGAGACACTTGCTTGGTTTTTAACAAATCCCAAAACTAAAGAATCCAGATTCGTTCCAATCTGGATCCACTCATGGCGGGAGAGGTCGCTCCGCGTTTCTGCGCGGGGCGAGGTGCCCAGAATGGACCAGGCAAAGTGCTGCCCGAAGGGGCGACCGTTGTAGCGCCCACGGACCGCGGCGGTTCCAGGGCACGACTGTGCCCCGGTTCACCGACACGGTGCATGCCGCGAGAGTGCGTGAACTCCACTCATACCTTTGTCGTTCTTTTTATCTGGCTTTACAAAAAGAAACAATCGAAATACATCCTCAAAAAAGATATGGCTATTGGATGCTATTGGCACAAGCTGGCTTTTCAGGATTGGAGTGTCATGCAAGCTCGTGGTCACGAGACAGCCGGGCAGATTTCCTTTGATCAAAACACTTCTGGTGAAACCTGACGGTATACAGAAGAGGAATGGCTTCTACATTCCCCACGCCCTTCTTCAAAGGGAAATAGATGTATTCACACCAGAAAAACCCGATTGAAGCCTGGCTTCACGACGTGATGTCTCAATTCACTCAAACGAAGAATTCAGGATTGTGATGTCAGCAAGTGACAGAAGTGACAGCTTGCCCTGCCTGCTGCACTTCAAGTCTTCCTCGAGGTTGCGAACGATTCGAACCCGACCTCCCTCATATGGAAAATGCTCGATCCAATGTGTTGAAAGCAATCGCATCCTGTACGTTGTACGGCACAGTCAACCACCTGGAAGCATGCATGCAAAAAGTCACATAGAGCATCCGAATGTCTCACAACAGCTGCATAATAGCCCGCGTCGGGTCGAGGTCGAGTCTATCATGGAATACGTTTTCCGATCTCCTCTTGGAACAGAACACCACGAGATGGAAATAATCGTTCATCCACCAAGTCGCGCAGGCCGAAAGAGAGATGGAGGTAAGGTCAAGGTAAGGTTCTCTTCCTGGGCACAAGGTCGCCGTCTTCCACCCGAGGCTTCAACCCAACTAGCCTGAGATTTACTGTAAAAAGAAGCTGCGGCTTCTTAAGGTCATTGCTCCAACTTGCTTTGAAACTGTCTGTGAATGGTTCTCATGGCGCTCAGGATTGCGCATCTGGCACAGCAATGCCTAGCGGTCAAAATGAACCAGAAGACACCAAAAAAAACGAAGAAACGGCTGGAGAGTTCTTCCACGAAAGAACTAGCCCCGCCCTGCCAAAAAAGATTCGAGTTGTTAGCAAGAGGGGAGTCTCCAGACCTCCAAATTGACAAGTCGCTATATTCTCACCTCTGTTGAGTCTACTCGCAGCAACAAAGTATCTCAGGCCCCCGGCCGATCACAGAATCAATGGACTTCACTGAGTTCACGGGGGCTCCTGAACAACAAGGATAATCACAAAAGCCACAAATATGCATAAAGCCTCTTTCAGATCTGCCACAAATGCATGATTTCCTGGCCTTCCATGGCAGTGGCAATGACACCCTGCAGAGCGGGGTTGAGGTCGCCCACGGACTTGGCGGACGCATCCCGGATGACCTTGCTGCGGTGGGGGACCCCGGCTCACAAAGCACACCAGCCCCCCAAGGCATTGCCTTTGCAAAGCCACTTTGAGAAGGGGAAGGCAACAGATGGCAAAAGTCACACAAAAAGACAACAACGGGCACATCAGGAAACCACAGCCAGACGGGGCGACAAAAAATATCCCTTCAGGCATCTGCAGCCTGGAGACCCGAGAGGAACACTACGCGGGATACAAGCTTGAGACGCCTTGCACTTGGTTGCGAACCAGCAGGCACTTAGAGTAATGCAAGCTGAGCCTGGGTGCAGCCGTGTGAATGACGGTACCGGTGCTTGCCTGAACCATGGAAGAAGGCTTCGGGTTTGCTTTGGGATCTTGTTTTCGGGGGGGTTGGGGCCTTCCTTCCTTCCTCCCTCCCTCCCTCCTTGCTTGATGCCTTGCTTCCTTGCTTTCTCGCTCCCTTGCTTGCTTCCTCGCTCGGTTCCTTGCTTCCTGGATATTTTCTTTGCTTCTTTACCTTGCAGAGAAAGAAACAAAAACATAAAACAGCGAAAAGCAAGGAAGAGAAGGCAAGCAAAAGAAATAAAACATAAACAAAGAGGCAGAAGAGCAAGCAAGCAAAAAAGCACAGAAGGTGACGAAAAGCAGAAGAGGAGGAGGAGGAGGAAGAAAAAGAACAGCAAGAAGTGGAAAAGTCATCAAATAGACAAGCATATAAAAGCAGAGAAGCCAGAAAAACATAGAGAAACGTGTGATACTGATACCCAAAAATAGGATCACAAATATCCAAACAAAAGAATCCCACAAAAAAATTGCCTTCTATGGAATACTGTGCTCGACAAGATGCTGGCGAGGCAGATGCACTTTGAGGAGACCAGTTTTGCGCTTCCTCCCTCCGTCGTGCCTGCAGGTCAACGTTGAGCTGCTGACTCGCTGAAAAAAGGTAGCAAAGTGCATGGTTCAAAATATATAAACCCCATTCAACCATGGATTCCATGGACTGGAAGGAAGTTCATAATTTGGATATTTCATCATGCTTGCAGCAGGGCAATCACAGCGCAGCATGAAGCCGTAGAAACCGCGCCTTCCATGCCTCCTCCTCGAGAGCCAGTTCTGCCCGCATCGATTTGGTAGCCTTCGCGTTGTGCCTCCGGGCATTCCCACAGGGAACAATGCAATAGGCAATCCTTGCAAGAGATGGCCTATTAAAGTCAACACCTCAACACCTCCCTCACAAGACCATGGTAGGTTGACACCGTTCATTTTCAGAGGTCAACCAGCCGACCCACAGCCAGATTGATTGAAAAAAATGCATCACGCCTGCTCCGCCACAGGCGAGAGACCATCAAGAAAACGAATGCAACCGCAACTAGGATCACACCAGCCAATCCAGGCATCTTGATCATTGCACCTGCCAAAGAATAGAAAGCCAATTCCTTCATTTCAATGGATTCTGTGGCCAACCCCGATAGCTCAGAGCGCAGCTCCCAGGATCCCCTGTCCATGGCCACCAGTGGAGCTCCGCTATATCATCTGTGACCTGCGGAGTTTCCGCAAACACCTCGTTTTCTGCCAAGAAAGCCCGTACATCGCCTTGAACTTGCCAAAGCATGAATCAGCACGCCAGAAGAAGAATTGTGCAACCTCGCTGCACGCAGCTGTTACATCTCTACAATGCTAAAACTTAAGACACAAGCGCAAGTCTTGCGCAGCGAATCGTCATGCGAGCAAAGGGTGAGAGCATGTGTTTCAGGCGAGCATCTGCAACCATCAGGAAAGCACCTGTAAAGTGAAAGAACCTGAGGCCAAGAAACTCTTGTTCTTAGCTTTACAGACTTGAATCAATAAAGCGAATCAACGAACAAAACTTTCTGGAGACTCACAAGACTCGAGATTTGGTAAAGTAAAATAAACTAGCGAGGTCAAAGGTTCGAGGAGACGAGATTTGTTGGATGAAATGAAGTGACAGGTCCGTGAGAGGTAAGGCCAGGTCAGGTCAGCACATCTGGGAAAAAATCAGTCTGGCTGCCTAGCATGTCCCTTTGCTGTTCAATTCTCACCAACTTGCATGTCTGCCTTTGCACAGACTCCCAACTTCCGACACACACGCAAACAGTACTACAGCACTTCAATGGCAAATTCGTTCTCCAAAATGGTTCCATAGAAGGTCCACAGCGATTTGCGCTGGCAGCTCGCTCTCTCCCTCTCTCTCTCTCTCTCTCTCTCTACCACAGCCTAAAGTCTCCCATGTTTACTGTAGATAGAAAGGACAAGAACGAGGATGGATGAATACTGGAACTTCATGAAAACTGGATGCTGTTCAAAAATATGCTTTTGATGTGTTCCTTTCTACGAAAGGTGTCGGATTCTGCTTCTTGGGGCACCTGGCAGTGGAACAAGCTGCTAGGTCAAGAGCCCTTTGCAGCAGACAGAAGTTTGCCCAGCAATTCAGGAACTGAGATAGGCACAACAGGTGCCCAAGCAACTCCCAGCTTACCCGCCACGAAGCTTCTAGGTGACGTCTTTTGCGAGTGGAGGACACAAAAACGAAACTAGGCATATGTGCTCCCCGACAACCTACACAGGCTTGTCTCACTTCAGCAACAAAGCAAGGTAGAGGACTTGCGATTGATGTATGCAAGCAAAAAACCTGCCGTGGACGTGCTTCCTTTACATGTTCGGTTGCACTGGCCACGAAAAGAGTATCTTGTTTTCGCGTCAATGGTGTGTATACTGTAGAGAGTCCTGGAGATTGCAGTCAGAACCAGAAGCCCACCAGCTACAGAGTTTAAGAAGAGAGAGGGAGAGAAACAAAAAACATCAAAAAAGGTCATAATGAGTCATACCTCAGCAAGTGTTGACATCGAATGCAAGCGAGCGTCGAGACCCATGCAGGAAGGTCTTTGAATCGCAGTTGGCACTTGTCTCGTATTCGGTCTGACAGGCGGGTGCTACACGAAACAAAGGGCACAAACTGTTTGACATCCGCATGGGTAAGTCACATAGAAACATCTTTACATCTGCTGGGCTAGTCGGTGTAGTCAATGTGCTGATGTTGAGCCTCATCTACCAATCAATCACCAAGTTGCACCGGTCACCAGTCATTGTGTGTGTGTGTCTGGATGCGCCTTTTCTTGTGGATGCTCAGCCCCGCCTTCACAGTGGTCTAGCCAATCCAATTCCACAAACTCCACCTGAATTTGCATTTGCAGTCACTGGCCAATGTATGAGCAGAGGCTGGTACAAACAGGGACCTGTCCAGGGGGACTGGACTCCAGCTATTTCTAGACTGGTCTGGTGACGCCATTTCCCGAAGTCCACCAAAATCCCATGTCTTTTGCAGAAAAATATCCAAGTTCGTAAATGTCCTGCTGTCTTAGGGTTTGGCTTGTACAGTCAGTCTATCAGATACTATCGGAATGGGTTGCCATTTTGATGTGCGCCCGTACAAATTTATTCCATCCATCTTTTTGAATCTTCTACAAATGGCTGTGTCGCACTCTTCAGAAGAGGCAATTTCTTGACCGCTAATATTTGTTCGGCAGTTCAGAAATACTAAGTTAATGTCTTGATTGTCCAAGAGGCCTTTGGCGCAGTCAACTGCTCGTTGTACTTGTCGAACGTGTCCTTGTGTAACTTCAGTTTTGCATGATGGTGCCACGGGAGGTACAAACTGCAAGAAGGGATCACGGGGGCTTTCGGAATCGTGCGGCGCAAAAAGATCAAAAAAATAGAGCACATCTTCGGTCTGCCAAAAGTTGCACCAGAACACTGCCCGGCACATCCGCTCCTGAATCGCCCATCCCATGCCCGTCCAAAAGGTCACGGAGACCAAAGCTGTGAGAGAGAACCTGAAACGCCAGACGAGCCAGAAAGGGACCTCTCGTCAAGAGCATCAGTGCTGGCCAAAGCACATCAAATTGCCCGCACGGGCCCAAACCTGCAGAAGGGGACAGAACCATAAGTGTCACTTCACAGCAGACTTGTGGCTTGGGTGCGGATGTGGATCAACACAAATCACCCCCACGAGACACATGAGGAAAGCCGGCTGGGCGGTTGTTGGACTGGCACTTACCCCCACGATGTGGTCTGCTGGGTAAGCAGTTGCAAGGTTCAATATTCCAGCAGGGATGGGGCCAGAGAATCAGATGCTAATCTACCTAATGTTCAATCTATTACTATGTACGCAAGGTTACGCATATTCATGGTTGCATGTATTTTTGCTAGCTAGCACTTGAGACATCACAAAACTTCTAGCCCTGGCCTCAAGCTTCTTGAACCCATGGAATCAGTTAAGTCCCATAGATAATCACGAAGCGCAGGGACAAAGTCCACCACATCCGGGAACAACTATGCAGAGTCTTAGAGGACTCAGCAAACACTTTTGGGATTTCACAAGAATTATGATAAGCAGACTGCCAACGGCCAACCTTGAAGCAAAATAGACACATTGATATGTTTTGTTGATACTTGCTTGGAAAAGGGCATATGCGGCGATCCGCCTTGCAGAAGGAATATAAACGTCAAGACACAGCCAATCTGCCCTCAAACGACCAAAACATCTGTGGTGGCACCATCTGGATGCATTGCAACACTTGAGCTGGCTATTGATGTCAGGGTACGTTTGCTTTCAGAAATTCTGCAAATTTGCAAGCATATTCGTGCCAAAAGACAAATGCATACCATTGGAACCCCACAAAATACAAGTTGAATGCTTGTCCATTGGATGCCCCCCAAGCTTTCGACTGTCTAGAATTTATGTAGGTGTTTTTCCCAAAAAGTGGAATAGCTTTCTATGTTGAAAGCCCTTTGATATTTACCCTTGTGTGCATATGCACAGGTATCGTACTTAGAACGTCTACCACCCGTCTTGTAGACGTTCGGGGTGGGTAGACAGCGAATCGGTCCGAAAGACCGAGAACAGCAGATCTGTCAAGCATTGTTGTTCTGCTAGCATTAAGGCCAGGAGCCCGTAGTAGTAGTAAGGCCAGGAGCCCCGTTCGTAGCGTCCTTGCTCCTAGTAGCCATGCCAGGAGCCCCTAGTAGCTTCTCGTTCCTAGTAGCTAGTTCTGCAGGCATTGACCGCATGGCACCCTCCACAATGCACGTTTTGACGATCCTCATCCCCGTTAGAACTGGCCTTTGGGGCCTGTGGCAGCCAACTGTCATCAGCGAAGTATGGAAATATCTGAAGCACATTTCCAACTTCACGCTGTTTTCGCTCCCCAATACGATGGCAAGGGCACAGTACAGGCATATGCCATCACCCTGGCTGTTGACCATTCCCCCGGCACACAAGCATTTCGCAGTAGTGCGACACTACACAAAACACAAGGAAACTACCCTGGTACGAGGAAACTGGTGCCAAAAAAAGAATTTTAAAAACTGCGCTTGAAGTTAAAGCGTCGAATCGTTAAAGCGTGTGGTTGAAGTCGTTTAATCATGGGGTTGACTGCAAAAGAAGTGTCAGGTATAGACATATAAAAACCCACGAACTATCCACACATACCTATATCCATATGCGCACAGACACTCACAAGTAATGTAAAGTTACGATTTGTAAACCTCCCCTAGTTAATCCGAAGACACAAACCCACCAAAAATTGCCCAAATTAAAAGTATTATTCGTGCGTATTTCCCCCCCTAATCTTCTAGTTGGGCATCAGAAACCCCCCCAGTTAATCCGAGCCCACACACGCCAGAAATAAAGAATAATTGTTTCCTTAACTAATTCATTAACTAAGGGAGGTTCATCAATCAACTCATGGACTGCTGCTACTGCTACTGCTACTACTACTACTACTACGACGACGACTACGACTACTACTACTACTACTGCTACTACTCCTACTACTCCTACTACTCCTACTACTCCTGCTGCTGCTGCTGCTGCTGCTCCTGCTACTGCTACTGCTACTGCTGCTGCTGCTGCTGCTGCTACTGCTACTGCTACTGCTACTGCTACTGCTACTGCTACTGCTACTGCTGCTAGCTATTGCTGCTGCTGCTACTAGCTATAGCTGCTGCTACCACCACCACCACCATCACCACCTACTACCTACTATATACATGTTTGATGAAATCCTTAAAAATGTCTAGGGCTCAGGGCCTATAAATTGCCTTATTAAAAAACAATTAGAAACAATCATTTGACAAGCTCACAAGGGCCGGTCCCCCATTAATAATCCGCACTACTACCCCCTATTAATTTGATCCTGTGTCCCTGGCCTTTTCTTTGCGTTTGTTTAAACTTGTTGTGACTACTAGTACTACTACTACGTACTCCTTACTACCTACTGCCTACTACCTACCACTACCTACTACCTACTACTACTACCTACCACTACCTACTACCTACTACTACTACCTACTACCTACTACTACCTACTACCTACTACTACCTACTACCTACTACTACCTACTACCTACTACCGACGACGGCTGCGACTACGATGGCTCCCTGAGCCGATAATTCAGGGGAGGTGGACCTCATGAGTGGTATCTCATACCTTCTTGACCTTGTTGACCTACCATTTGGGGGGGGGGGGTTATTAATCGGAGGTTGTCATTATAATACTCGCATACATACACACACTTAGGACAGGGTGTACTGAACTGAAAGCGGTGCCACACGCCGGCCTAGGGTTCCAATTCCTAAGAGTACCAGTGAGGACCCTCGGAGCCTGGAGGTCTTCAAGAGGAAAGAGGGCCAAACTCGCAAGTCGAAAACGAAACGACAGGGTGACGACGTAGCGCGCAAGTCTGCGGAGGTCAACTCAGCAAATGTTAAAATTCAAGCAGGTACACAATGCGGCGTCCCGCATTGCTTCACCACGAACTGACAGCGTCTTCGTTGGGCAATGTCTGTCAGTCGTGCATTGCCCCCTGCTGAAAAATGAGAAAAACGAGAAAAAACACAACCCGAAAGGATCCCTGTGACCAAAAGGATGAAGACATGAGAAGGAGGACGAGACGGGACAAAAGTGTGTGTGGTTGCGATGAAAAAGAAACCAAATGCACAGGGACAACCGATGAACCCCACCTCATTGTCGAGACCTGGGCGACCTAAAACCTGAGTTTAGAAGTAAATGCGCGCGTACAAACTAAGGCCCGGACCGTTGCGCGCGCAAGAGAAAGAAAGGAGTGAGACGAAAGGACATGAAGCAAGGGAAGACATGAAAAGAAAGAAGAAAAGGAGTGTGTAAAGGGGAAAGGATGAAAAGGGGAACCAAATGGACGGGACGGGAACCGATGAAGAGAACCTAGGCAAGCCTGGTTGAAGACGTACGCGCTGTGTGTGCATCTGAGGTGGCGACGGGTCCCAACGGACCCTAAATTGCTTCGGCCGCTGCGGCCACGTACGCCGTGCCAAAATGGCTGGCTGCTTTGACCGCTGCGGTCACGTAAAGGCATGAGCCAACTTGGAATTCCAAAAATGAGACAAACATCCAAATTCTTGTGGCGTAAGCCATCTGCTGCCCGCTGTGGGTACTTACGTTTCCAAAGCAAGGGAAGCAGCGACAAACACCCGTTCGACGGGTCCACGGGAGGCACTCTGCGGGCTCATCCCGGGTTGGCACAAGGCCAAACACACTTAGGATAGGGTGTACTGAACTGAAAGCGGTGCCACACGCCGGCCTAGGGTTCCAATTCCTAAGAGTACCAGTAAGGACCGTCGGAGCCTGGAGGTCTTCAAGAGGAAAGAGGGCCAAACTCGCAAGTCGAAAACGAAACGACAGGGTGACGACGTAGCGCGCAAGTCTGCGGAGGTCAACTCAGCAAATGTTAAAATTCAAGCAGGTACACAATGCGGCGTCCCGCATTGCTTCACCACGAACTGACAGCGTCTTCGTTGGGCAATGTCTGTCAGTCGTGCATTGCCCCCGTGCTGAAAAATGAGAAAAACGAGAAAAAACACAATCCGAAAGGATCCCTGTGACTACAAGGGGCACACACACACACACACGTGAATAATTTCCCCAGAACAGACAACAACTTCAGAAAAGAAGAACGGCAGGCAGTCGCTCTGCTGAAGCTACAGCCCCTCCCAGATCAGAAGAATTTTGTAGTTTTTGTATCTTGTTCAAAGCTGAAAGTAGAGTCCCTCCAACATGAGCAGACATTTGTGGTGTTTGTGTCTTGTTTGTCCTTTGTTTGTCCTTTGATAGTCCTTTGTTTGACCTTTAACTGCATTTTAGCAAACAAAGAGCCAACAAGATACAAATTCTTGGGGGGCTCATCTTGGGGGTCCCTCCGCAAGACATGATTTTTGCGTTTAGGATTTAGCACAACAAATTGGCCTTCCATGTCGACCGATGCTCCCACGCCTTGTAAAATACATTGCGGAGCACGATGCAAACTCTCTGCTTCAGAATGAACAACCAATGACACCACCCACACTTTCTGCATTGTACTGTAGCCAATTCCGGAATGTGCAGAACTCCCTTGTAAGGATGTGGTGGGACAAGGTAGCAGATCCATTCCCAGATTAGGTGGAACGTCGGAGTCATCAGCATCTCAGTAATACATAGTTTGACCGATCTGCACAATGCACCGAGTACGACCGGCTCTGTTTCTCATGCTTGCGTGTGCATGTGTCTGTTCACAACTGCTTTCGTGAATCCTGCTGCGCTATTGGATTCTGTTGTTCCAAGTGCGCCTGTTTGTTTAGTTATTTCCATTTGCAAAAATCCATAAAAATCCCTGACCTTTGTACACCCGGGTCAAACTCAAGGGATAGGTAAGGTGGGTCAGACGCGATTGCAAGCGAGCACCCCCAAAACCATGGAGGGTTGACCATCATGCTAGTCGAGTTTGTTCATTGGGGACTCAACAGCGTCTGTAGAGCTTGACAGGTGCCCGGCCCCAGCCTCACTTTCATCCCGGCGCAAGTAGAAGCTACCCGTCAACGCCAAGGGAATCAGTGAAAGAATCACCGGCAAAGTGCCTGCGGCGTCCGACGTCAGCTCTACGGACGTCAAACTTCCGAACGTCAAAGGCAAGCCCTGCCTATTGTACATTGCACAAGTGACAGCCGAAGGATCCCAGCTAACACCGAGGTGGGCCAGTCCTGTCAAGAAAATGTCCACCGCTCTTCCTCTTTCCAACTCATGGAATCCAGCAACTGAGCTCAAAGCCGGCCCACCACAAAGGATCATGCACTTGCCGAAGCTCATCCCAGGCCTGTCAAGCTCAAACATTCTGCGATTCTGGCCACATGATAGAAAGTACACCTATCAAGCAGCGCAATAACTGGCTTGCTGCCTAGTCAGAACTATGGTGTCTCTGCACTCAAAAAGACCAAGCAAAAAAAAGAAGCCTCCGAAGAACCTGCTCAATTGCACGCATAAAGGGCCTCCAAACAATGCATGCATCATGTTGATTCGGCTGAGTTTTCACTGTCTTGACAACATTCCCACATTCTGGAAAGCATTTGCATTCATCAAGAGAACTCCACTTCAACTCAACGACATCCCGCCTGTGAACGCCACAGGCATGACGAATGGATTGCCGGTTTCCAAGCAACCTCAGAGTTTCCCAGCGGGGGTCACTGATTGCACAACTTGCAAGACCCATTCTACACAAGGTGAATCGCCAAGAAACTCTCCGATGACTTTCTGCTGAGTGGCACATGCGGAGAGCTTCAAAACCATGCCTCGGATCTCGAGCCCGGTCACACTCCCAACCCAATCGGAACCCAATCACATCCTTTGGAGAACCATTGAGGCGTCGATGCCAGGCACTATACACTTATATATATTGCACTCACACACTCCTGTTTTCGGCCAGCTATCTGAAGGTTTCA